GGAGGCAAAGTTGCAGGGCTTCAAGTTAGGGAGGAAAACGGGAGAAATAGCCCATTCACACCCTGAATGCTCCGTAGGAGCCACAGGACGCAAAGGTCCCCAGGGACTTTGTGCCAGAGAAGAGCAGCAATGTGCTTGACACCACAGAGGGAGAGATTTAGCCTCCACCACCATCATCAGCGCCAGTCCCTCCAAAATCCTCCAGATGAAAGCATAACATAGAAAGAGTAATAATTGTTTTTTCAATCTTATGTAGCGTGAATAAAATCATCTTTAGTAACCTCGTTTTTTTAAAACCTGCATCTTACAAGCTAAGTGAAAACTGGCTCATGTTCAAGAATGTTCTTACCAAACTAGAAACAAACCAAATGCCCATCAACAGAAGAACAGATAAATAGAATATTCACACAATAGAATATTACATCATCATGAAAAAGCTCACTACTGATGCACGCAGCCATACTGAAGGTGCTCAAAACACAACGCTGTGTGAAAGAAGCCAAACGCAAATGAGCACATTCCGTGTGATTCCATTTATCTGAAGTTCAAAAGCAGGAAGTACTCATCTATGGTGATAGAGGTCAGAAAGTGGCTGGTTATCTTTGGAGGCTATCAGCCGGGAAGGGGCATGACAGAACCTTCTGGGGACCTGCAAATAGGCTGAGCTGGGTGTTGGCTGCATGGCTATCACAGACGGACAAGTTCATCAGGCTGTCCTCTTAGATGTGCACCTCACTGCCTCTAAGCAACACACCAAAAAAAGAGGGGATCCTTACCGGTTTTAAAACAGTGTATTGGCTCTACAAATGCAGCTTCAAGACAAGTGGCTTGGCTGCCAGTTCCTTGATCCTGGAATGTGTTTGTCTGGGGTTCTGCAAATCTGATCTATGAGGGCCACTGAAGGTCAGGCTGAAGAGGGGGCATCCTTCAGGAGTGAGATGCAGCCTCATCACACATGAATGCATGACACCATCTCTGGGCACGGGGACCATAACACTCACCTTCCAAACCAAGACACTTTTAGAGGGGGCTCCATGAATAGTTTCACCAGGACAACACGCATAAACCATGATGTCCCAGGCAAGGGGTATACAGTGAAATTTCTTGATCTGAAACCTGCCAGACAACCTGGAAAGTACACACACTGGGACAAGCGTGGCTTGAGCCAGTTGGGACAAGGACGGGGGTACAAGAGGAGGAAATGGCACAGAGAGAAGCCTGTAATCAGCCAAGGGTGCTGAGACGTTATATATAATCGCTCTTCAGGGAACCAATCCTCCAGTCCACACCCCAGCTGCTTGTCCCCCATCCCGTCTCCCCCGAATTTACTGTCCCTTCTCTGGAACTCCTAAGCCTGACGCCCCCCTCCCTGGTCCTCCCAGCCCACAATGCCTCTGACCCCACACCTGTTCCCAGAACTCAGTCATCTGAGCCCCCAGCCTGCGGTTCTCTCCTAGGCCTCAGCCTTTCCTGCCTTCGGCTGAAACAGCAGCATCTTCTAAGCCCTGGGGGCTTCCCCGAGCCCCAGCCCCGGCCTAGAACCCGCCTGCTGCCTGCCACGCTGCCACTGCCGCTTCCTCTATAAAGGGACCCAAGCGTCCGGGCCCAGGGGCCCCACACAGCAGGTGAGACTCTCCCGGCCCATCTTCTTGGGCTGCCCTGGTGGTGGACTCTCTCCCTGGTCTTCAGCCCCTGCCTGGGCCTGGGCCTGGCCCCTCCTACACCTCCTGCCTGGGCCTGGGCCTTGGTGGGTTTGGTTTTGGTTTGTTCCCCTCTCTCTGCCTCTCCATCTGTCAGTCTCTCTCTCTCTCTCTCTCTCTCTCTCTCTCTCTCTCTCTCTCTCTCTCT